ATGTGCAAAATGCCAAGTGTGGTTTCTACCATGCCTTCTGCCTTTGCACCACGATAGGGTTAAAAAATCGTAAGTCAGGCCATTGTAAGTCAGGGAACGGTTTGTAATTGGTTACCCAAAGCTCCATAAAGGGGTGGAAAGTACATTTAACACAGCTGTGGTCAAGGACAATGGTGAGAGCCACTCTGCGGGCAGATCAGAAGAGGACAGTGGTGGACTTTGTGAACCAGACAAAGGACACCCCACGGGGGCTTTGCCCATTCACACTGGTTAACAAACCCAAGGCAGGGGTTTAGCACAAGGGCCAAATGAAAACTCGGATATAAAGGGCAAGAGGGAGCCAGAGAGACCAGGCAACTTGAAAACTTACCAGATATACATATTTCATGACACGCTAACGAGTCTACATTATTTATAAGAAGTCAGGATACCCTCTGGCTGAGTTTTAATTTGATCAAAAGCAAACTGTTTATCTTTTGCTTTGTTAATGGACATTTAGCCTTTACGTTGAGAAATAAGCTGAAAGAATACCTGGAAGAAAAGAAATGATCTCGTGTCTTGCTTTGGGAAATTTATTATTATTATTATTATTATGACTATTATTTTAAGCAGCCTAATAATTTGCATTTGCCTGGATGTTAAGTCAGGGCAGACAACAATTAGCATACATAAAAATTAACATATTTTTAAAACTCACATTTCTAACCCTAAGCACTATATCACTATATAAGACTTTGCATACATTCATCTATGTATAGTTTTATTCTATTCTACGGATAATTACACCCTAATTGTTCCTCAAGTTAAAGTAATTCAGACATACATGAAAAGACAGACGTACGTCGACAAGTTTAACACCAGAAAAATTAATAAAATAATCACAATTATCCTATCTGTGGAATTCTTTTCATGTTCCTTTTCTGGTTCAATTCACGAAGAACAGACCAGTTTGAATACCAACCAGACAATTCATCAAAAAAAAAAAAATCAATTGTTTTGGTAATTGTGAAGACTAGGCCTTCATCTTTCATCGTTAGTCATCTGACTTGAAAGGACTGCCAATGAGTATTACAAATCTGACCCAATTTGGGTGATAAATTCCAGCCTCTCTACTGGGTTTCTGCCCAAAGATTGATCTCTTCAATAAAATGTATTTGAACTTTGGCACTAAAGAAATGGCTTCTGTTGGTCTGAAAGGGAAAGAATGAAGAGCTGGGGTCATTTCGGGTGGAGGGTCCTTCCGGTTCACAGTTGGCCTCAGGTTGAAGAAAAGCCCACAGAAATGAGTAGATTCCATTTATCACCGCAGATGCGTTCAGAAATTCCAGAAGGATTACCGCACAGCTGCTCCCGTCCCCAACACCTCCACCCAACCCCAGCACACTTGTGCACCCACACGGCCTCCCCAATCGCTGTCCCCCAGCTTCACATTTCACTGTGACAAGTGACAGGAGCAGCCGTTGCCTGGCACAGCTGCAGCCTGAAGGCAAAGGGTAGGAGGCGGAAGAGGCAAGCTCCGTCCCAGAGGCCCACCCAGGCCAGGCGAGGGGGCTCAGAGCCAGGCTCCCTGGGAGACCCTCATGCAGCAAGCTGGCGGTCACGAAAACTGCACGGAGTATGGATCTCAAACTCCAACTTGAAAACAGAAGAAAGCAATGGCTCAACATTCTTGAGATGTTAAGTCATGGAAGGTTCTCTGTGGTACGTGCAGGAGTGTGGCAAGGGCTGCATCCACGAGAGGCCAAACCTGTTTCTACAGCCCTCCAAGTCCCGCCGTGTCTGGGAACACTACGTCTTTCTACCTTCTTTCCTCATCCGTATCATTTTCTAAACACAGAGTTTTTACACAGTCATGATCAGAAGATGAATAAATAAAAGAATCTAGTTTATTTTTTTCTCCCCAAGCCCAGTTGACCAGACTGTTCAAACGGCTTTTTCCTCTTTGCAGGAAAGCTGCGGCTCAGGCTTTGTGTTATCATTCCTGTGCTGGTTTGCTGATGGTACATGGTAGGGGAGAAGAGATTAGTTTGTTTTATGCTTAGAGTCTTTAAATTGATTTTAGTAATTTGAAATAGAAATAGAATTTTAAAAATCAAAAGTATGATTTTTATGATACACTTTTTAGTAGCTTCTCTCCAAACCTTAGAAGAACACAGCAATATCAGGAAATATGTTTCTGTTCAGGTCTTAAAGCAGGTCAAAAGATTTTGTACACATGGTACCAGGGATTGTACCCCAGGGACACTTAATCACTGAGCCATATCCCCAGCTGTTTTTATTTTTTATTTTGAGACAGGGTCTCACTAAGTGGCTTAGGCTCTTGCTAAGTTGCTGAGGCTGGCCTTAGACTTAAGACCCTCCTGCCTCAGCCACTTGAGTTGCTGGGATTACAGGCTTGCAACTCTGTACCCAGCATGCTGTTATTTCTGAACCAACGTTATTCATTGTAATCATTTCTTACTTTAAACATTGAACCAACACTTTATCATTAGCTCTTCTTTGCAAAAGTGAAGTAGGGCTGATGGTGGGGCTGGGGGTAAGAGTGCCCGCTGAGCACACCCTGAGGCGCTGGGCTCAACCTCCAGCACCCAGGTTTGGGGGTAGGATGGGGGAAGAAGTGGAGTAGACGCTTCACTTCTATTTTTCGAAATAGAATTTTCCCACAACATATTATATGCTTAATAAACAATAGCTTTCATTGTTATGGAAATCCACAATGTGTGCTCTATGGATCACCTGCATTTTGCATAAATATGACATGTATGCTTTACAACACTTTTTCATTGTGTTTAAAATATACATGTGACCCCTTGGTAGGTCATGAAATTGACTTAGTGAGTCTTAACCACAATTTTATTTAAAAAGACATAAACATAAAAAGAAAATACCTGAATGCATCGTATGCATGCAGTAAGAAAGAAGATTGTTTTGTGAAACTTGTTTTAGTATTATGCATGTGTGGGGGTGTGTGTAAAATGTATTTCTTTCTATAATTTGTCTTAAAAAGTTTGAAAGTTACTGCTTCGAGGCATTATTTCTTACAAACATATTCTAGTATTCACTAGTTAATTCATTAAACTGTTCTAGTATTCACTCTAGAACAAAGGAAAAAGCTACATTTACTTTGTGCTACAATTAATAATCAATGCTCTTCCTTTATATTCATAAACATAATTACTCAACTTTGTACACGGCATTAAAGGTATTCAAACCATTTAAAAACAATTTTCTATTCATTTTCCATGGGTACCATTAGAGAAGTAATAGACGAGCATTTACTGACATTATATTCCATAAATGGATTCTCATTTCTCTTCCATTTATCTACCATCAAATCATAACAGATCCCAGGTCTCTTGATTTTTCAGTTTACTATTTTCTAATGATGGGCTGTTTCCATGGCAAAGATATGACGATGTCCCTTCATGACATATTGATCTAACTAACATTATCTCATTTGAGGGGGATGAAAAGTCATCCCCACTAGTCGATGTGAACACCCATCCTCACACGCATGCATCCTTTCTTATTAAAACCCTCCAGATGTTTATGAACTCTCTTCTCAAAGGTCATAGTGTTGTGGGCCGAATAAAAACAACTGGCCAGCTTAGTTAGTTTTGCATGGTGCATTTCAACACTATGGAGGAAAAATAAAAGGAGACTTCATCGCGAGGAGGCCATGTCATCGGTGCCTACCTGCTGGGGACAAATGTAGCAATGCTAGACTCCCCTGGAAAATCACAAACTGCCCTCGCATGAGGGCTACTGTACTGACAGCAGCCACCAGAATGGAAAGGTAGGTGCTGGGGCACAGCTTCAGGAGAGGGAGATTTCACTTCTGAATGGCTTCACCACGGCTGCTTCATTTCCTCAATAATTACTCTGGCAAGATCATCCACTACTGGAAGGGAGATTCCATTGGGAAGCAAACGCAGAGACTCCAAAGGGCAAGGGAGATTCTAAGATACCCCTAACTCGTGATGTCATTCAAATCATTAGTTAAGCACTTACTGCATGCCAGGTACTATGTGAGGGGCTGGGATACGGATGAGTTTTCCAGGCAAGTAAGAGAGTCCCGAAAGCACACAGAATTATAATTCTATGTGCTAAGAGCTCTGACTAAGGCATACTCAAGACAGAGAAAGAGCCACCCATCAGATGGGGAGCTGATGAAAGTCCATGAACTTTCTTAAGGAGGTGGCCACGTTTGGGCTACACCGTGGACGAGGGGCAGCGGTGCTTCCCCTGGGGAACTCAGGTCAATCAGCAGGACATATGCTCAGGACATTGCAATTAAGGTCAAGGAATAATTTCATTTGGTCCAACCTAAGTGGGGCGTGTGCACAGATACGACAAGTAGCTACGGGTCGCTGGAGTGCTCGGTAAGGCCAGTGTGACAGGAGATGCAAAGCCCCACAAGAGGCAGAGGCCAGGTCCAGGCCCCCTGTGGACATGAGAGTGGGGCAGACCCTGCCTGGGATTGCATCCTCCTGGTAGGCACCCTTGGAGGACCAGGATCACCCAGCGACGCAGAAACATTGTTCAAGACACTTAAACACGTCAAAAGAGAAATCAAGAATGTTTGAAAGATCATTCTACTGATCAGTTTACCTCTTTAAAATTATACCCATATTCAAAGCTCCCTGTTCCCTTCTCTTCTCATCAGTTTAACACTCACGCCATCTTGGTTCTCACACAGGTCTGTGCTTGAGTTTGCCACCTGACATTAATGGCAAAGTGCCTTCCGTGTAATCACCACGTGTTAACTTTAGTGGCTGTTGAGTGTCACCATAGACGACGTCCCATTTTCTGTCCGTAGTCACATATTCCTGGATTTTCCTATGCTGCCACCATCTGTCCCCACATGGTTTCTTACGCACATCTTATTCTCTTTCCTTGGGACAAAGTTGAGGGTCGTACTGGGTGAGTGGGCCATCAGGGACATGTTTCTATAAATAGTTTCATGCCTTGTCACCGGGGCGGGAGGGGCCGGTACTCACTGTGGTGCTCCAGGTGAGGCCCGTGGTGTGGTGCTCCTTGATGTAGGCTTGAAGCTCACTCCAGATGTTCAGGTAGGACTTCACCCAATCCACGTGCCGTAAGTCACTTTGTCACAAAAGAGAGTGGAAGGGAGCGGAGTTAGGATCTCCAATAAATTTAAAGTAGAGGGCCATGTGGTTATCCAGTGACCAGCAGCCACAGGACCCAGAGCGACTCTCCCTCTAGCCACAAAAGAACCAGCGAGCGGGGAAGGTGGCCCAGGACTCTCCTGAGGGAGGCGGACACACGGCCCCAGTCCTGAGCTCCACACGTGAACGGAAACACCAGACAGGGGACCTGACCCAACAGGGCCAACAGGGGCCACGTGTCCTCTGGCAGTCAGTCTCTGTCTTCCCTAACGGAGGAGACTGCGGGGGGAGGCCACTTCTTCCAGTGTGGCTTCTGGTGCAGAATTAAGAACAACGTGTTCTCAGAAGTGAGAACGGTACTTGAGGGGAAAAAGTCACTTGGTTGATTTCTAATAATTCAGTTGAATTATTTGGTTAAAAGTGTAACTGATTGGAGAACTTGAGTTATCATGACTGATAAGGAGGTCGGTATGAAAGAAAAGCATTTCTTCACCAGCAGGTCACACCCTGTATGTCTAGGGGGACATTCACTTACATGACCTGGATCTGATACTCTTGGCATCCCACGTGAGGAGGGGCACAACCGGGATTTTTTATCTCTTACTTTACTGAACTGAGTGCGAGCAAAGTGCTTACCTTTTATGGCAGGGTTAACATACAGGATTAAGAGAGCTGTTAGGAGCGTGAAACTCACAGAGAGATGAAGGTAATTATATTTCCTTTTGGTAATTTTCATCATAGATTTTTTTCTTTTTTGGTACTGGGGATTGAACCTAGGGGTTCTCTACCACTGAACTACATCCCCAGCCCTTTTTATTTTGAGACAGGGTCTGGCTAAGTTGCTTAGGGTCTTGCTAAGCTGGTGAGGCTAGCTTCAAACTTGTGATCGTCCTGCCTCAGTTTCCCTAGTTGCTGAAATTACAGGTGTGCGCCACCTCATCCAGCCCAGTGTTCGTTCTCCCGCTGGCATGAAGGGGTGGTAAGGGAGAAGATGCTGATAGTTGAGCTAATGAACATTTAATTACACACCTGGGTCATTAATCTGAAGAGAATCACCAAAGGAAATGTCTGTTATTAAAGCTCCTGCCAATAATGACGTGTCTCTAGGCACACTTCATTTTGTTTTCCTTGGAACATTCCAAGTCCCACCAGCGTGTCTGGGGTCCCACTGTTTGAAGCATGCCACTCGGAGGAGCGTGGGGGGGACTCCGACCTTCTCATTCATTCACTCCTCAGGAGGGAACACATGAATGGAGTTTCATTCTAAATTTCTCAATTAATTATATATATATATAAATTATTATGTATTAATAATCAATTAATTGAGAAATTGAGAATCTATCTATCTAACGAAATCTATGAAGAATCTCACTGTTGCTTTGTCTCATGACACACTTTGTGTCAGTCTCTGAAGGTTATATGCCTCTTATGAGTTTCCTCACCCACAGGTTTTGTGAGGGTCTTGGTACAGTGTCTTGCACATGAGAAGCAGTCTGCACACAGCTGTCATTAGAGCACATAATCACTTTAATATAAGTGTACACCTATATCTACTTATACGGCATGTATGAAACACAAACATGCCATGTCGTGGTGGTGCACATTCAACAAACTTTACTAAAACATTCAACAACCAGTGAAGACCAAATCTGTCTAGGAATATTCACCTTTCCTTTTAATCAGTACATCATGAGTCTGACTTGAAGAAAGTTCCAGAAAAACTGGTAGTAAGGAATAACAGTATGGTGACTTTTACTTCAAGTCCCTAAGAGATAAATGGAGCAGGGTTCAAAAATCCAGGGGCAACTGCACACACTCCCTTGGTTTTCCTTGACCCTGGAGGGAGCCATGTGAGGGGAAGGAGCCCTGACAGAAGGAGGCCACACCCCGAGGAAGCCAGCCACCTGCCCTGTCATACTGAAGGAAGGGCCCAGCCATGGCAGCACACAGAGGAGGGGCATGCTCACTGCCCTTGCTTCACCTAAGGGAAGTCACCTTCAGCTCCTCTACCCCAGCTCTTCCACCCCCAGCTCCTCCACCCCCAGCTCCTCCACCCCCAGCTCCTCCA